CTCTCTATTTTGCCGCCCTAGACGCAGATATAACTGAGGGCGCGGGTGGTGAGGGTAGTGTCGCGGACGCCACTCTAGATGCAGATATAACTGAGGGCGCGGGTGGTGAGGGTAGTGTCGCAGATGCTGCCCTCTCTATTCTGGCCGCCCCTAGACGAGGATATAACTGAGGGCGCGGGTGGTGAGGGTAGTGTCGCGGACGCCGCCCCTAGACGCGGATATAACTGAGGGCGCGGGTGGTGAGGGTAGTGTCGCGGACGCCGCCCTAGACGCGGATATAACTGAGGGCGCGGGTGGTGAGGGTAGTGTCGCGGACGCCACTCTAGATGCAGATATAACTGAGGGCGCGGGTGGTGAGGGTAGTGTCGCAGATGCCGCCCCTAGACGAGGATATAACTGAGGGCGCGGGTGGTGAGGGTAGTGTCACAGACGCCGCCCCTAGACGCGGATATAACTGAGGGCGCGGGTGGTGAGGGTAGTGTCGCGGACGCCGCCCCTAGACGTGGATATAACTGAGGGCGCGGGTGGTGAGGGTAGTGTCGCGGACGCCGCCCTAGACGCGGATATAACTGAGGGCGCGGGTGGTGAGGGTAGTGTCGCGGACGCCACTCTAGATGCAGATATAACTGAGGGCGCGGGTGGTGAGGGTAGTGTCGCAGATGCCGCCCCTAGACGCGGATATAACTGAGGGCGCGGGTGGTGAGGGTAGTGTCACAGACGCCGCCCCTAGACGCGGATATAACTGAGGGCGCGGGTGGTGAGGGTAGTGTCGCGGACGCCGCCCCTAGACGTGGATATAACTGAGGGCGCGGGTGGTGAGGGTAGTGTCGCGGACGCCGCCCTAGACGCAGATATAACTGAGGGCGCGGGTGGTGAGGGTAGTGTCGCGGACGCCACTCTAGATGCAGATATAACTGAGGGCGCGGGTGGTGAGGGTAGTGTCGCGGACGCCGCCCTAGACGCAGATATAACTGAGGGCGCGGGTGGTGAGGGTAGTGTCGCGGACGCCACTCTAGATGCAGATATAACTGAGGGCGCGGGTGGTGAGGGTAGTGTCGCAGATGCCGCCCCTAGACGCGGATATAACTGAGGGCGCGGGTGGTGAGGGTAGTGTCACAGACGCCGCCCCTAGACGCGGATATAACTGAGGGCGCGGGTGGTGAGGGTAGTGTCGCGGACGCCGCTCTAGACGCGGATATAACTGAGGGCGCGGGTGGTGAGGGTAGTGTCGCGGACGCTGCTTTAGACGTGGATATAACTGAGGGCGCTGGTGGTGAGGGTAGTGTCGTGGACGCCGCCCTAGACGCGGATATAACTGAGGGCGCTGGTGGTGAGGGTAGTGTCGTGGACGCAGCCCTAGACGCGGATATAACTGAGGGCGGGAGAGGTGAGGGTTGTGTCGGGGACGCCGCCCTCTCTATTCTACCGCCCTAGGCCGCCGCCTTGGTCGCCTCTATGTATGCGCCGGCCCTGGGCAGGGCACAGACAAGCTCCTCCCCCTTTAAACTGCCAATAAAAGAGTTTATATGTTAATTTATTCATGAGACTGAAACATTTTTAAAGAGTCTCCAGAGCTCAGAGTGTGGAGACGCTTCAGGAACCATTCTAAACCCCTGCTGCACTGCTCCTGAACACCAGTACTGGTATTATTGTCTGATCTGAGAACTGTTGGAGAGCTGATGATGACATTACAACTATAAATGACATGTAAAAGCACATACCATCAGAAACGCCTACAATAGTCAAAACATGCATCGTTGAGCTGTTCTTCCAGTATTATAAGCAGAACAAGTGAGTGTTTCCACAGGTAAGAGGTTAAAAGAGAGTGTGTGTGTGTGTGTGTGTGTGTGTGTGTGTGTGTGTGTGTGTGTGTG